GCTAAAAACGTACGAGATTTGTAAAAAAAAAAGCCAAAGGTGTCTTTAACAGTGATTGAAAAGGAAGTCCTTATGCTATTACATGAATATGACTTCAATAACTCTTACTCAAGGAACCTACAACGGAAAACTTCAGCCACGAGAAATCATTTGGATTTCTATACTTTATTAAGGTGTATAAAAGGAAATTATGAGCTATCATCGAAGGCAGGTACCGGACTCTTCGAGTCGCTGGAAACATCATGTTGCTCCTCCTTCAATTGGGATGCCTCTGGCTTCAGACCTTTTGTCATTGAGTTGAACTGCTCCGCAATCCTGCGATTTCTTATTAAAGACAAATAACAACGGCTACAAATCTCAGAGCACCTTCACCTACCATTCATAGTCGAGTAATAATAGCAGCATCCCAGCACCTACAACGAAAAAGTTGAATTTGAATAATTTCCGCAGAGGCGGCCAGATATAAGGGCGGTGCTCATAGACTGTTGTTGAAAAGTCCGAATATCCGGTGCCACTCTTTCTAAATGAACGAATGTGAATATGAAACACCTGATGACTGTTGTTGTTCTAAATATAGTACCTAGAGAACAGTTCACCCATTTTTACAATGTTTACATAATTGCAAAAAATGAGAAAACAGAAAGGTATGGGATGAAAAAAAATTTCGAAGTTTTTGATTGTTAAAACAGTGCCCCAGTAACGTACCCTCTATTTCGGAAGACGAGAAGAATGTCGAGTGCAGACCACACACCACAAGTGACGACGGCCAAGAAAAAAGCCACTTTTTTCTTGGCCGTCGTCACTTGTGGTGTGTGGTCTGCACTCGACGCTCTTCTCGTCTTCCGAAATAGGGTCTCCGGACATCTGTCAACCGTGAGGCTAGGCAATTCAGCGTTTTGTTGTGCTGTCTGGGAGCTCTCACACAAGCGCACTATTACAGAATCTCCGCTTGAGGTGCGGGTTCGGGTCCCACCTGGGCAAGTTTTGTTTACAACACAGCACTCTTGTGCGACTTTCGCAAGACGAACTGCGGCCAAAACAGCGGTTAACAATCAAAATGAGGTGCGGGTTAGTACCACCTGTAGCGGAAGTGTTGTTCTTAACCCAGCATTCTTGCGAAAGATTCACTGTGTTCAATAGAAAGCATGTATGGTTGCAATAATAACGAGCGTGTAAGCCATTGAATTACTCAATAATAGGGTAAAGCCTCCACTACCAGCTGTTCTACACTTTCATAAGACTTTTTAGTACAAAGAAACGAACCTATCGGTATAATGAAATACACTTCGTCTAGGATTGCCGAACATCGTGTAAGCCTTCACAGGATCTAATTCAACTTCTTCTGGTTTACTGTTCGTAACCTGTTGATCCCCGGGTCGGGAGAGCGAAGATAACCAAGCACGTTGAGATCGAACGAATAGAAACCTGCACCGCAACATAGCAACCACTTCTGACCTAAATGGTGGCCCTTAAAGTTGATTCTTATTCGATTTAAAGTACTCCTGTTTCTAATAAACCACAACTACAGCTCCATAACTAAAGAATTAGTCAATCAAAAGAAAAGTGGGAAAACTTCAGATTTTTCGACGATTTTGGGAACTGTCGTTTCTTAAATACGCAATTGCGGCTTGGTTGTGTAACTTAACGCATGCAAAGTCCGATTTGGATGAACCATTGGCTGGTTGGCAGGTTGATTGCATTTCTTTCCTTTCGCGGAATACTTGTTGCATCTTATTCCGCGTTTTATTCACAACTCTTACAGTAAGCGCGGAAATGTTGGCTCCAACCAACGGTGCTCATGTACCAAAGGGGGACATCCAGAAAAGGCATTTGAAAACCGCCAGTATGTGAAGCTGTGATTAAGCCCAATAGAGGGGAAAAGCACCACGGAGAGTAAAGGTCACTCGCGTTTTCCCCGGATACCTTCCCCTCCCTAAGGCTTTGTCCCAAGTTCGTTAAGTGGCCACTCACTTCAATGTCTCTTCTAGGAACATGAGCGCCCAGTCCAACTATTACACCCAAAGTCTTAAATTTTTAGGGCGCTCATCCAGTAAGGGGGCATCAAGTGGCTGCCCTCACCCCCCACCCCCTAGACTGCCTACACTCCCCCTGGCGCACAGGTTTCTCGAAGTACGGGACCCCGTGAGCCAGGGGGAGTGAAGGCAGTCTCAGGGGGTGGGGGTGAGGGCAGCCACTTGACGTTGCATCACAATGCCCCCCCCTTACCTGGATGAGCGCCTCTTATATTCTGTCTTCGTATACCATACATTATCCGCTTTTCTGCCGCTTTCACTTCTTCTTTCATTTGGACCGCGAATTAAAACGAGCCTTTGGGAGGGAAAGGAGGGCTGAGCGGCGATTCACCCTAATGACTTCAACAACTTGCACACGATGCGAGTTAACACACACGGCAGAGAAGTCGCTCCTCCCATTATTTGAACTTAGGCTTCATAATAACTGAGAGAGCTCATGAGAGTAGGAATTCATAATTTTGGAAACTATGTCATATTCGCTATTAACTAACCCCTAAATACAAGTTTACGCACCAAATTTGGTGAATACAGCCGTCGTGGCAAAGTAGCGCCAGCGCAAAATAAATGTCGTACGGCCGCAGCCCCCCCCACCCTATAAACTTTGACGAGCAATATTTTTGAGCATTTTGGGATTGGTATGTAGCTTGAATAGTGCCGTAACGATCTAACAGAAAAACTCAATGGAAGCTGGACTAATCAAAGATAGTGACCAAATACAGGGTAAATCGTTGGTTGATTCCTTCTAGTGGAAAATAGTTTGAATTAGGTGCAGGCTTATCTTATTTTTGTCATTTGAGTCTACTACTTTGCAAACCTGAATCTCGGTCTAATCACGAGTCTAGATGCTGACACATAGTTTCATAGAGCAAATGAGTTCCTTCCCAAATGATATGTGAAGTGGTATAGAACCAGTATGAAGAACACCTACAATATTTTTTTGGAAAATGGAATCGATCCCGGGGCGAAAATCGAACTTATAATCTCTCTGCCCACTAAACTGCGTAGTTTTAATGCGTCTTAAAACATACGCCACTTCCTGCGCATGCTTTATGCCTCCCATATTTCTGCGTTCACCTCGTTCAGGGAGTGCATATGCACAAATTAGTTGCTCTTTATATATAGTAGAGGGTCCTTCTCAATCACGACCTCACGATGGAACGAAATTTCAGCACTGCTTGAACCTTGGGTTGTCGGCGGTTGGTTTTCGCCTATTTCTCGCGCTCCTATCTGTCTCATTCTCCCTCCGCTTACATTACAACAGGAAGAAGTGGTCGAAACCATGCACCAATGGGGGTCTTAACCCATTGCGGACCGCGTGCGTGCACCACCATGTGCAGCACGCCACCTTGCGGAGAAGGATAGTAATCTTCGATTTTTTCAACATTTTGCTAAGTTACAAAATCAGCAGTTTGCTTTTTCACACACAGGATATATCAAGTACTTGCGTACTGGTTAAATTTTCGATAGATTATTGGCCACGGATAAAAGAGATGACAAAAACCTACGGAGGTGCAATTATAACGGCGGTCCGCAATGGGTTAAAGCAGATTGGGGGTGGTTTGCACAGCCATATGCATCGCATAATGGACGGTACTCCTGTCTTCTTGGGGCCTATTATTTTATTAACCATTGGTTTATCTCCTCTTATTCTCACTAATCACTATCATGCCATCACGGAACGTTGACTTTAAGATCTTCGAGCTCCACAGTTTTGTTTTGGATTATCCCAGTAGGTTGCAGCTTACATAGATTACAAGGCTTCTGTCAACCAAAGGGAGAGAGCGTAGCTGGAAAAGCACACACTTTGTGTCTTATTGGGACTAAGCCTTTTGAAGAAGATAAAGAAAGAGGGATGCTGTGATAGTGTGCACTTGTGAGAGCTCCCAGACATCACTACAAAACGCTGAACCGCCAAGGGCTCGCGGTTGACAGATGTCCTGAAGACCGCTTACATACCGACGTGCACATACGAACGAGCCGATACGCGAAGTTAGCGGTTTGTATAATAGAACAGTTTAGCTGCGCACGCATTCGCGTGCATCATACGGGACTGCAATGGTATAAAATAGAGCCAATGGTATTTTTATAGTGCAGTTCCGTCCATCTCGGTGGCGCCCACAAATAGCATTTGACCTCCCCTCCTTCGACAACCTTTACCCACTTTTTCCCAGCTTCCGTACCCTAGAGCCTACCTATAATATTACGCGGCAAACTATGCCTTCTCCTGTATAACTGTACTAGGAACTTTGACGTCAGCACCGCTCAAGTCCGGCGCGTGCCCCGCCCACAGCGGGCGGAGCTTCCGCATAGCTGGTATGTGTTGTGTACTTCTTGGCCAATGCTCTACCGATCCCATACTTGACTCGGACCCTCTAGTGGTTCTCCAGGCAACATCGAATTTCGTGACAGACGGAGACACACAGATAGCGCATTATATATCGAAGGGAAAGATAGGCGGATATAATTTTATTGAGCTGTAGTAGGTAAGAATTCCGCTCGGTCAAAGAGCTGTTATAGCTTAAATATGTTTGGAAGCAAACGAATCCAAGTGTTCTTTCAACGTACTCTGGTCGATGATCTATGCAGATCTTCCACGATACTGCTGTTAAAACGATCAGCGGATCCAAGTATCCCAGCGAGATCCATCTGGAGCTGCAATTCGGTGGCCCTACAACTGCGTGCATTCAAGTCACCCTGAAGTGTAGCTGCATTCCGTCTCTCTGAATACACACATGCGCTATGTCGTGTAATGGTGTTATATACTCGCAATAGAATCATCGACACAGGTTGTACATGATAGAAAGACATGAATCTCTGGGGTTTCTTTTTATATTTTGATACTCTCGATATCTATGTGTGAGCGCCCTTTTAAAGCAGCCACTGGTGGTGGTACGCCTCTCTGTTGGGATCCGAAATTGCTCCTAACAATCTCCGCTGCTGCATTGATGGCTTCGCTTCTCTTAGGAATTCAGCTTCTAAACCTTTTGGAATGTATCTACTATATTTCAGGACGTTGCACTTACCCACTTACATTGAGCGCAGCAGCGCCTGTCGCTAGAAGATGATGATGAATATCTGGCGCTTTTTCCCCGGTATGTCGGATTTCTTCTACGCTGGCAAGGAGAAGTTGAATGTGGGTATCCGTTGTTTAATCAAGTGAAGTTTCCTTACCCTAGTTTGTGCGTCAGTTCTTAGACTCGTTGTTCTGGTGTGATCGGGGTACTTGGTAACCTCAAAATCGCTGTTACTTGCCTTAAATTGAGCAAAATTTCAGAGCTCTGAGTGTAACCATGGGGTGAATCTCATGAAGTTCAGGGAACTGCCAATCGGACCTCTTTCAAAAGGTTCAGTTTTTTTTTTTCAATTTGGTCCATGGTATTTTCGATACTTTCGTTGCTTAGGTAATGAACCTGCACCATCGTAGTGGGTCATCGGATATTTTGGACGACGAGTTTTTTATACGTTGTTGTCGGAGGATTTGATCGGACCGCCGACGAACAGGGTGGTAAAATATATAGAGAAGTCAGTTTTCTTAGCTGTCTAAAACTATTATGGCAATTTGGCTTTCATGGCTTTGGGAGAGAGTATCATCGTTTGCGCATCGCTGACGATGATCCCTCACGACCTCTCGTCTGGCGGGAGCGGGGCTACGTACAAGCGAGCAAAACCCTGTATCTAGTCACCCGCAACAGAGGGAGGGGGCATTTAAAAACCGCTGGTAGGAAGTCCTGGACATTTTTCCAGAATCTCCTCTCCTCCGTAAAGCTTATAGTTAGTCCCAGTTTTGTAAGTGTGTAAGAGTCTCAATCACTCGAATGCCCTCTCCTTTCACCCCCCCCCCCCCCTCATCCCCCAGACATGAGTGCCAGTAATTTTAGTGTGATGATTTCCGATGAAAGCCCTTTTCGTTCCAGGTTTGGAGATATAATTTATTGACACAAGAATGGACAGAAATGGATCTTCTTGGTAATTTTCCAACCGCGCTAGCTTCATTTGCCTGTTAGTTTATCATTATCAGTTTATTTATCAGTTTATCATTACTTTATTATGTATTATTACTGAAAATGTTATGAAGTGGGTTTGGCGAAATTTTTTCTTGCTTCAGTGGTGCAGAGCTCTCCGTATTCTAACCAAGTTGTGCTATTTGGAGGCACGGCTGTACCCTTCGGAGCATCGACGTCCTCTAGCGTTCACTTACTGTCCTTTCATAATACATCCAACTCGATTGTATCAATGGTACTTCCTGTAGAGGGAGAGAAGCTGGCTACCTACGGACATGTGAGTTTATTGAACGAATGCGAAGTATTGTGTCAAAGGTAGGTCTCGTGGGGTAGTCTAAGCGTGAGCATGTTAAAATGACTTAAATGAAAGCGCAGTTGCTGCCCACTCCATCAAGGGAAGTAAGCAAAAACCACTCGATAATTTGAAACCAGAGCCCTCGATCTTTTAGGATCTGTGTTACATAGTTTCATCATTGGGATCCCATCTTGCTCACTTTATTTCCTTCAATCGAAAACCTCGCCACATCTAGAGACTGCGGCCCTCGCTCTACCCTCACTACCCCTCCAGCAGATTAGTCAATCGCAGAAACGGAACTACCAATCACAGAGCTCGGGGTGGGGTTGAAGCATATGCTGCCATTCCAGAGTTTCAATTTTGGTCGCAACACATGCTGCTGTAGTTGTGGAGTTCTTCCTTAGAGTTGTCAAGGAGCAGAATTTTGGTTGATGGATGGGCATTCGTCAGCGACTCCTAGTATCTTTGTTTATCACGTTTGAGCTGCGAAATCGGCCCAACTCCAGTGCTCGCGGATTTGTTCCCTTCAATCATGGAGGGTAATTCATAGCGAATTGAGAATTGAAAACGAGGATCGGATTGTGAGTTGTGCTTTGAAAACTTTGGCAACCGTGCAATTTCTGGATTGTAGTGCCATGGTGACGTAAGTCTTGCGCTCCACATGTGGTCTGTTGGTTTGTGGTCGCGGTTGTAGAGCCAATTTGCGGGCTGCATGGTTGCCAAAGAGGATGGGTGCGGTTGGTAATAACCATTGTGGTCGCTGTAGGGTGACTAGTGTGTTTACGCCTTTCTAATTATACATAGAACTAGAAGAAGAAAAGACTAGAACTCGGTTCTCTGACAGCAACAAGTCAAACTTCTCGAATTGTGAACCACTCCGTGTTCGACGGATTCCACAAAACATGAGAGGAAAAACCACAGCGTTGTTAGCGTTGTTAGGGCAAGCTGTACAGCAGCAACAGGAAGAAGATTTGCTCAAATTGTGGACAAAACGCCACTGAATGTTGTTTAAGAGCTGGATGACTCGACTCATCTCACTTTGCTACTAAAATCAATAGTCGCAATTCTTCCCGAGTATAGCTGAAAAGCCTTTTTGAATCCTTTGTTTTATCAATGGTCGCCCGACGCTACATCTACGAAGAGTTTGCAAGCAGACCCTCTAAACTTAAGCACTACTTGTCTGTGAAAGCCCATGGTGCCCGTAGTGCAGGTGCTATGCTTTTCCGTGGCGATATTCGTATTCAGGGGATCAAACTACCTCTAAAACGAGTTTTTCGCCAAATCTGAGGCGATGAACTAATTGAGAAAAAGCGGAGCAGTGATGGGATTACCACTCCTCAAACTCCACTTTTTTGGGTTGACCAATCATGGACGACGGGGGAAGAGGGGAGAGGTGTTGTATTAGGAAATAATGCTTTGCAGATCTTTGGATGATGCAGACGGGCAAGCCAGACACAATTTTTGTCTATTATGAAAAGTGTTTAAAGGTTTATTCTACCCAAGTGCCAGCCTTTTGTAATGGATTGGTGGATCGGTGTAAGTGACTGCCCAAATTTTCGAGGTTAGGTCAAAATTTCAGATTTTGCCCAATGGGGAGTCCAACTCCCAGATTGCGAATACCACGCTTGTTTGAGGCGAAAATGCCTAGCGCCTGCGCTACAAGCGCCTAAAGTAGTGAGGAGCGATGCCGCCCAAGTTCGTTATTAATTGCCCTCAAATTCTTTGTACGGTTCAGCTGTGCCCAAGCATGCTGGACTAGCGATGTTAGGAATCTTCCTAGCTATGCTACTGAAAGCGGCAAAAGATTAAGTTCGCCAAAGTTCAAAGCAAAAATGCCTGACACGTGCGTTACAAGCGTCTAAATTGGTGAGAAGCGATGCCGCCCAAGTTCGTTATTAATTGCCCTTAATTCTTTATACGGTTAAGCTATACGCAAGCATGTTCAACTAGCGATGTTAGGAATCTTCCTAGCTATCTTACTGCAAACGGCAAAAGAACAAACTCGCCAGGGAGTCGATCCCCTGACCTCTTTTTCGTGAGCCTCGACCACAGCCCCTGCGCTTTTCTGCTTCATAATTCCTTTCAGAGAAGAGTTCAGCAGATAAGGAACACATATTTGAGCTCAGCGTCCCAAGGCGCATAGAGACGTATACTTCTCATTTCAATGAATTGAATTTCGGCATCGTGTGTGGTATTCTCCACAATAAGCGCGTAAATGTGTATACCTTTCGTTAAGACATCTTAACTGCGATTTCTGTCCTCTAATTTTCCTCCACACGTTTAATATCTGCGGTGCTTTTTATTGTGATCTCTTCTCTAGTCCTACGGTCATGTGGAGAGCTCCAGATACGAACTTTAGAATCTTTTCGTCGTTACTTCGAACATTTCCAGGCAATGCTGCGCGGTTCGGATCCGTGTTCTTTTTATGTTATCGGTGGTACAACGGGACACAATTTCTTCCTAGATGTTGACAAATTAACCTTCGGAGATGGTCTAGCGAAGCGCAAGCTGTAGGTTATACTTGGTTTTTCACGCTATGTTGGAAGAAGTGCTTGTGTGTGTTTTTTTGATATTAAGACTCTCGAAAGCTCATTATCCTGTTAAGACTCCTAACATGGAAGGACGGTACCGCCTTGAAGCTGTTTTGCATGACGATCTCATCTTCCTTTTTGGTGGTGGTCGTCCTGATTACGTTACTGAACTTCGCACTGTAAGTTTCTTTTTCCAGTATTCACAAACTTTCCTAGGAAGTTATCCACCTTCGGTCGTTATGGTTGGCTTTTTAGATAACAGTATTTGACACCAAGAAAAAAGTGTTTGTTGATTTACCAACTCTTCCTGATGAAAGCATAGGCAGTGCCAATTGGGAAGATGGATACCCGAAAGGAAGAAGGTGAGTTGTTTCTTCGAATGGGACTTGTTTGAACCAATCCATGCCCAGTATAACAATTTATGTCACACTTCAACAGGTGTCATTCGGTGACGAAATGGAAGAGAAAGGCCATACTCGTTGGAGGTTGCAGTGCTGATAAAGACGACGACGATGTCAGACACGTACGTCTTCAATATTTTCGGTATTTCGGACTATCTATCTTCAGTGTTGTTTTTCATTGAAATTTGCAGGTAGACATGTACAGCGATGTGTGGTCGTTTGATTTGGATACCTATCAATGGAAGAGAATGCCATTTGACCTAGCTACCCCGGTATTTTTCATGACGCTGCAATTACAAAGGTGAGAACTTAGATTACTGTTCTTCTCTAGATTGGAAACAATTTCTCCTTCAGGAAGGATGCTTGTTGGTTTGGGGCGGTGTGCGTGACATCTACAGTTCACATCGCACAAATATTGGCCAGTACTGCTATCTCGAGCCTCCTTCTTTGAAAACTTTGGCTGCTCTTTCGCTGCGACCCTACATTAATTACAAGGTAAGTGATCTGATAGCATATTGAGAATAAAGTAAGCAGTTTATCCAATTGATTCCGTCCCTGTTATGTTTAACATTTTAGACTGTCGAGGAAGCGAACAATTTGCGGTTTTCGTGTGTCATGGAAGTGGTGCGAGGTATTTGCAGT